AGTGTTAGTTGGGCAACCACAATTGCGTGAGTTGTTGCGCAGGCCTGATTTACAGCAGTTTTTCCAACGTGTTGCCGTTGATTTTTTCATTCCACCATTGCAAGTGCCAGAGGTTTCAAACCCATGATGTACTGACACTAAATTAATACCATATTGAGACTTAGCCTTTGCCGCAGCTTGGCTTAAATACGGCTCTTCAGTACCCCAAAATGCCACGCGCTTACCACGGTAAGCCTCTAGCAGCTTAGGGATAAAGTCCGTGCCATTCATGTTCAAGCCTTTGTTGACCATTAAACGCGTCATCAACATGGACATACCTGAACCATCTCTTAAAATGACATCTGCTCCATACAAAGCATGGTAAAACGCTTCGTTACTCACCATGGAATTCATTGCATATGAATTGACAAAACCTAGCACGCGAGGGCTATTTAAAGTGCTTAATTCCTTAACTAAACAATCTTCTTCGTTTGCATCCGCAATCACTCGGATTTTTTCTACCGTGTTATACCAACGTTGTTTCCACTCTAACAATTCAGACATTTTCTATTCTCAATAACTATTTTTCACGTTTAGAGCGCACCCAGCTCACTTGGCGTTTAATTAAAAAATTTAAATAAACGGGAATTTTTAACATTGCATAAACAGGGGCATAACACAAACTAGCCAGCGAAATGACCTTGTGGCCAAATGCTACCCAAGCCATCATCACGGCTAAACCCAGCAATAGCAACCCCGTAGCAGCTAGGTATAAAGGAGTAGCTAAACCTGAAATGCCGTAAAACAGCCCTGCAATAGCAAGTGCTGCCACAATCAATAACATCAGCAATGCCAAAGGCGGCACGATTAAATCAAATGCCATCGCCAACAAGCCCATATTAGCCTTTGAAACGGCTTGTTTAAATAAGCTTGGCGCCTCGCTGACTATTACACCCAAATGCCCATGTTCCCAACGAGTGCGTTGCCCGCTAACACCCTCAGCGCTCACGGGAAACTCGCTGGTGACTAAAGCCTCAGGTAAAAACATCGGTGGCTTGCCTACCAAACAGTAATCAATCCCTAACTTGAGGTCTTCAACAATATGTCCACTTGCTAGGTTAGCTTGGCTGATACTTGACCAAGTAAATGCCATGCCAGTGCCCATGAGTTGGCATGGCAAGCCTAAGACCGTGTATCCTAATGGCCTAACTAGATTTTTTACTAGCCAAGCAAATTCAGCAATTTTTATTTTTAAACCAGCGCCTACAGGTGACCTCATCAAGTAAAGTGCTTGCACAGGTCTGTCATATTGCACACAAGCAATAGCCAGTTTATTCAGAGCATCTGGTTCCACGAGGCAATCTGCATCAATGATAATAATGACTTCTGGAGGATTGCTGACACAATGCCGCACGCCAAAGTCAAGCGCATACCCTTTGCCACGTTGCTCTTGATTAAATCGCTCAATCGACTCAGCACCTGCTTCACGTGCTAATTTTGCCGTATCATCGGAGCAATTATCGGCTACAACAATGAGGCGGTCTTGCTTAGTTAATTGTGGCAAAACTGAGGCAATGGTGGATTGAATCAACAATTGTTCATTATGCGCAGGCATAATCACAGCTATAGATGGGCGTTTAGATGTGAGTGCACGTGGTTTTACTTTGAGTAATACTGCAAACAGTACTTGCAAAAACAGCACCAGAACTGGCACCAATAATATTGCAATCAAAATACTTAATAAAATACTAACAATCGTCATTTAATACTTTCATATTACTTGTACTCTATCAACCTGCCCTGTTTGCCACTGCGCAAACGTTGATAGAACTTAATTTGCCCAAGCATTTCTGGAAATTTACCCAATACTAAAAAGAATGCTGAAACCCAGGCGGAGGCATCCCTTATTGGATTAGCCATAGCTAACCTAACAATCTGAATAGGATAAATCAACATCAATAAAATCCAATTAATATTCATCACACTTAACACTAGGATGAAGGTGGGTATTAATAAGCCCCAAATTCTGGCACGTCTAGTCTCACTCACCCAGTGCTTTTCTGGGGGTGCACCATGCAAATACGCCCCTTCAGCAAAGGCATGTCCAGCACGTGTAGTACGCTTCCACCACTGGCTAAAACGCGTCATGGCGGCATCATGCAAAGTCATTTCTTCGTCTAATCGCCAGATTTTCCAACCTGCAGCACGAAGACGCACACAAAGTTCTGGCTCTTCACCCGCAATTAAGTCCACGCGATAGCCTTCTGCTTTTTCAAAAGCAATCACACGCATTAACACGTCACCACCACAAGCTTTGGCTTCACCTATCGGGGTGTTCCATTCCATATCACATAATTTGTTATAAATGGTTTTATCTGGAAAACGCTCGCGTCGCCGCCCGCAAACTGCCGCAACTTCTATATGTGTATCTAAAAAAGCAATCGCCCGCTCCAGCCATGTGGCTACCACTTCACAATCACCATCTACAAATTGCACAAATTCTATGTGTGGGTATAAACTTTTGAGTAATGCAAACCCTTCATTTCTGGCGCGAGCCGCTGTAAAGGGAATACTCATATCCAATGTAACAACTTCAGCTCCGATTTTACGTGCTGAGTTTACTGAGTCATCAGATGATCCAGAGTCAACATAAACCAACTGGCAGGCTTGGTTAGCTAAAGTTGAAAGGCAATTCACCAATCGCTCGCCCTCATTACGACCGATAATCACCACCCCTACTCTAGTGAGCATATTCATGAGACTTCACTCACTGGTGAATCACTCTCAATTGCTTTACGCAATTTAATTTTTGCGGGCACACCCACCGCTATGGCGTTATCTGGAACATCACAAATCACGACCGCATTAGCACCTATGAGTACATTGTTGCCAATATTAATCCTACCTAACACTTTTGCACCTGCGCCAATATCTACATTATTGCCAATATTGGGCGCACCTGGATCTTCCACATTTTTCAAACCAATCACCACGCCATTGCGAATACGACAGTTATCTCCTAATTTAGCATAGCCACTCACGATAACTCCGCCAAAGTGGTCAATCACAAAATTCTTGCCCACTTCAGCCTCGCAAGGTAGCTCAATCCCAGTAATAATTTGTATGAATTTATATAAGAATTTGTATATAAAAGATAATATTTTTCGCACTACCGCTGGGCGCACACTATAGCGCCAACGCCCAAATCGATAAACCAGCATGACCCAGAAACCCTGTGCGCCAAAGTCACCTTGGTAAGATGCTAAGTCCTGTTTAATATTTTCAAACATGAATAAAATCGATATTGAAGTGAATTAACGGGTTGGCACTTGAGCAAACCGTGTGCGAAAAAACATGCGCAATACAAACCATGCACGTTTAAGATTAAACAGAATATCTGCTGGTGATTTTAATTTGATAAGCGCTTTAAGAAAAAGAATAAAATCGCCTAAGCTATTCAAAAACAAATGTTTGAGCACGCCAAATAAACCATAATTTTTTCGGAAATATAATAGCTCACTTTCTATTTGCAAGGCCTCAAATAAAATTGATT